AATCACATTTCACTAAATTGTCTTAGATATATTTGTACTTTTAAAGAACTATTAATTTATAATATTAATGGGGCCATATCTTTACACATGGGTCTTCAAAAAATATACTATCTTATCAAAAATATTGATTTTTTCCATTGGCCCAAGTCGGGACCGAAGGAAAATACTATTTTGAAAACTTAAGTAGTTGAACAATGACAATATTGTTACTTGAGGCATACAAACAACAAATCCCTTTCTTTTGATCAAAGGCAAAGATCAAATCCCTATCTTAATTTTGATCAAAGGCAAGGATCAAATTCTTCTAAGTCCTGATCAAGGCAAATGCCCAAATCCCTATATATACTAACATTGAGAAAGTAATGGACTCACAAGAACATATATAATTTGGGAGATAATATATCTATCCCTAAAAGGAATGGAAGCAATTGATAGCACGTTGAGGCAGGACGAAGCTAAGACATATGAAAAAAGAATCGAAAAACTTATGAACGCATCTCATACACATCTAGTTCTGGCTTCACATTTCCAGGAGGTTTTGATAGCGATCGGAATAGCACTAATAAGGGAATAGCAATTCTAATACGAAAGGCAGCCTTCTGTGCATTTGTTGTAACAGATGTCGATGCCTTTGCATGCTCCGTGGGGAATATGCTCATATACTTTGTCATGGCGGACATAAGACTTGCACCAATAAATCTTGAAGAATTGCATAATTTTTTAACGAACCTTTATAGAGACGCTATCCATCTGCAATGCTCGCTGTTGTAATTGCATTTGTAACTGCTATGTATGCAATGTTAGCACATAAATGCACATTCAGCTGCTCTAGCCGTTGCTATCTCTATCATCGGCTGCACCTCTTTCCTTGTCTACATTTGGGTCCTTTTACGTTTAGGCCTTATAATTAACGCGACTGAAGTGGTAGGCAGGGTTGTCTAAACAAGTTCATAGAGAGGTCTTATTTTTTTTTTTAGTTGTCAGATATGAATTGATTAACTGTAACATACTTAATGTAATCCGTCTAGAGAAGGTAGAATGTACGCAGATCTTATGAAGTAAGAATGTGAACAATAAGACATGCAAACAAGTAACAACAAATCCCTTTCTTTTGATCAAAGGCAAATGCCCAAATCCCTTTGCTATATATATAACATTGAGAAAGTAATGTACTCACAAGATCATATATTATTGGGATCATATATATCTATCCCTCAAAGGGATGGATGCAATTGAAGGCACGTCGAGGCAGGACAAAGCTAACATAGACGAAAAAAGAGTCCTATAAATACATACAAAAACTATTGAATTCCCGTGAACCATGTCATATAGTGGATCCTCCCCTGCCAATACCTATACTTCATGTACTGTCTATAGCTATAAATTGTTCAAAAAAACAGTGATCCTTACCTCAAATTCTTATATCAAGCCAATTACAGGAGGGCCTTGAATACACCATGTGTAAATTAGGTGCACGTCACAGATTCAAACTCTGTTGTGGGCAAAAGCTTAATATTTAAGTAGAGAAAGATAGAGGGAGTGAGTCCATCATCCATCAAGTTTTAAACTGTGAGTCACTAGCCTTTAGAGATTTCTCGTTTATATCAAAGAAGTTTTTTACTCCCCCCGGTCCATATATATGATATTTTTAGCATCGACACACCCCTTAAGAAATTCACTCACCCTCTAACTTTATATGATATTTTTAGCAGCGACACACCCCTTAAGAAATTCACTCACCCCTCAAAAGTTAGAGGTGTATTCACTAAATTATCCTTAACTAATAATAGTACCTATCAAAGGTTAACAAAAAAAAAGTGTAATACAATCTCAAATATTGAATCAAACTAAGGAATTATTCCACTCCTTCACTATAACAAGAACAATTTTTAGCAGCAATAAATATGCACATTAACAAAGAGTGCTAAAGGTGTTAGTTAATTGTCATTGGATTCAATTATCTCTTTCTTTTGATCAAAGGTAAGGACCACATTCCTTCCTTCTAAGTCCTGCTCAAGGCAAATGCTCTAATCCTTTTCCTATATAACATTGAGAAAGTAATGAACTCACAAGATCATCATATATAATTTGGGAGATAATATATCTATCCCTCAAAAGAATGGAAGAAATTGAAGGCACGTCGAGGCAGGACAAAGCTAAGATCTATGAAAAAAGAGTCGAAAATATTATGAATGCATCTCAAACACATTTAGTTGTGGCTACTTTATTAGTTACAGTTACTTTTGCAGCTGGCTTCACATTGCCAGGAGGTTTTGATAGTGATCCTAATAGCACTAATAAAGGAACAGCGATTCTAATACGAAACACAGCCTTCTGTGCATTTGTTGTTACGGATGCCATTGCCTTTTCATGCTCCGCGGGGACTATGTTCATATACTATTTCATGGCGGACACAAGACGTTCATCAAAAGATTATACAGAAATGTATCCACTTTTATGGAAACTTTATAACGACGCAATCTTTCTGCAAGGTATGGCAATGTTTGTAGTTGTAATTGCATTTGTATCTGGTATGTATGCAACGTTAGCACATTCAGCAGCTCTTGCCATTTCTGTCTGTATCATCGGCTGCACCTCTTTCCTCATCTACTTTTGGGTTTATTTTCGCGGTGTCCAGAATTTAATAAGAACAGAACAGAGTGGAGAGACATGAATGCATGCTAGATATATACAACAAACATACCCGGTGTAATCTCACAAGTGGCGTCTGGAGAGGGTAGGATGTACACAGACTTTACTCCTACTTTTCTAGGTGTATATAGAAAGTTTGTTTTGATAACCCCTCGGCTCAAAAGACTTTGTATACTAACAATGGTTGAAAATAAATAAAATTATTTTCTTGATTTTATAGTCTATCCCACATTAACAAAGCTACTCTGAATCCTGTAACAATAGTATTAATAGTTCAAACAACACTCAAAGGTAGGTCGACGTTTCCCATTTTTGTAGGAACTTCAATAAGCAATCGATATTTCACGATCAAGGGCTAACGTAAGACTTAAAACGTAATGTAAGTGTCACCATGAAAGGATTAATTTCTAATTCAAGTATAAGTTAGGCATGTGAACTTCAAGCAGAATTTGTTAAGGAACAAGCAAAAATTTCGTATTTAAAGTGCCAAAATTCTAGTTTGCTGGTCTTAGTTTGTATGGAAGTTGCAGAATATCAAGAAAATAGCACCAGAAGCTTATCTGCAGAACATATAAACGTGATGGCATCTGGAACAGTTCCACATAGGGTACAAAAACAACATAAACATAATCAGTGTAATCCCATAAGTGGTGTGTGGAAGGGCGGAGTGTATACGCAGACTTTACCCTTACCTGGTGGAGGTAGAGAGGTTGTTTCCAATGACCGTCAGTTCGAGTGCAGCAAATCAAAATAGTTATGAAAGAGGAAATACAACAGAGAAGAAAACACGACAACTAGTAAGGGAACTAGTACAATGGTAATAGATATCAAAAGCAAGCAACTACAAGAATAAGGCTAATACTAAAATAGACACTGTGCTTCCAGACTTCCACCAAGCCTAATCCCGCTAAAAAGCGAAACAATCCTCAACAGGGAATAAGCATAGTGTGAGTTGAATTTTTCTCTATCAAAGTTGAAACTACAAAGAATGTAAAGAGAAAAGGCTACTATAGTCATAGTTGATAACTAGTCCAGATTAAAATCAATATTTAATTCTGAATCCACATAATTCACTTTGTGTCTTTAATGAATTTAATCCCCTTACCGTGCGATATCGAGGTAGTATTGGATTATTTTCTTTACTAAAATAGGGATACCTCAAACTGTGACAACTTTTGAACTGCTTTATTTTGAAACAATGCAGAGAAAAGAGAAAAGGAGAATTCAAAATCAAATGTTTTGACAAAATTTAAGTTCTCAAATGTTTATGTTAACCAAGTGATTAAGAGCCCGTTTGAATTGGTTTTAAAAAATTAGCTTTTTTAAGCTTTACAAAAAATAAGAAGTCAAACTTAAATGACTTTTAAATCAAAAATTAAAAAATAGAAAAACCTACTTTTGGTTTTTAATTTTATTAAAGTCAATGTAAACTTCTTTTAAGTTATTTTTAATGTTATCTAATACTTCTAAAAATTAAAAAAGACTTAAAAGTAGGTTTGACTCCAAGTGGGTTCACAGTTTGGCAAAAAGTACCTTGGGTTTGAATCTCCTCCTTTTTGGGCTTTTAGAAGTCCCATAGCAAAAGCTGATATGGGCTCAGCTTTTGGGCTCAAAATCTCAACCCAATGAAAAAGCAACATTGTTTTCGGCCTTAATGTAATTTGGGGATAATTACACGTATAAGTAAACATATACTAATAATTAGTTAACATAGTTATAGTTTGCTTTAATTACAATTCGCGACCTACTTTTAGCTATAATTACGCGGCTCAACTTTTTAGTTTTGTATAATTCACACATTTGTATAATTCGGAATTTGTATAATATAATTTGTATAACTTTTGTATAATTCAAAATTTGTATAATATAATTTGTATAACTTTTGTATAATTCAGAATTTGTATAAATATAATTTGTATAATTGTTTACATTTCTAATGTTTGTAATTGTATAAATTCGTTATTTTGAGTTTATACAAAAATAACTGAATTATACACATGTACCTGCGAATTATAAAACCTGCTAATTATACAAATCACAAATTATACCAATGAGACAACTTAAACTATAGCTACAATCCGTAGATATGCAAATTATAGCTATGGAACATAATTAAATTTATTATAATGACTATTTGCGAAAGTTCCCCATTTACTTTTAATGTTTTTACTTTCGTTAGACCAAAATGATATATACAGATCTAAATCACAAAGTTGAAGAGTATATAATTTTAATAATAATAATTTGAAAATGGGTCCGGTAGAGAGACGTTGGCAATTGGCATTTGACAGTTACCTTAAAATTTGAAAAAAAAAAGGAATTGCAGACAGACTACACATATAATTATACATAGAGTAAAATTAGAGGGGGACCAGCTGGTTACCCATATTTGAACTATGAGATTGGTTATCCTCGATAAATTTTCAAACTGAGATGGAAAATAAAACTGAGAATGAGAACGGGCCATCGAGTGAATCCTCGGTATGGAGTAGATCCAGTTCTGATGAGAGCAAAGAGAAGGATTCTTCTTCTTCACCGTCTTCTCCGTTAGGATGGCCTATTCGAAAAGCTCAAAAAGATGTTGTGAATTCAAATATTTCAGGTTCGCTTTTTTTTTTCCTAGTTTGAATTTTATGGTCGAAGAAAAAGATAAAAGGAGAATTGACTTTTTACTTTCATTTTTAGTGAATTAATATTTATTTTTTGGGTTAAATGGAGACATTCTGCTTTATTTCAAATTCAAATTTGAATATTTTATGGCGGTTAAGCAATTTGGCTTTGAATTAGAAGGTTATGTGAGTTATTCGCATTACATTGAACAGAATTGGAGATGATGAAAGAGAGATTTTCAAAATTGTTGCTTGGAGAAGACATGTCTGGTAGTGGGAAAGGAGTTTGCACATCATTGGCTATTTCAAATGCGATAACCAATCTATGTGGTAAATTTTCGTATTCCAGACTACTTTTGTTGTTTTTATCACTTTTTTTTTTTTGACAAAAATTCGATGTGTAGCTACTATATTTGGACAATTGTGGAGACTAGAACCATTGCCTCAGGAAAAGAAATCGATGTGGCGAAGAGAGATGGAATGGCTTGTTGCTGTTAGTGACCACATTGTTGAATTAAAACCTTCTTGGCAAACATTTCATGATGGAAGTAAGCTTGAGGTACTGAGCCACTTTTTGGTTGAAGTGCAAACATGAATTTCTTGTGATTGTGTTACTTATCTAGCTGCCGTTATGAAGCTGAGGATCATTGAATGCAAGTGCTATCGATTTAATTTCCTTTGTGGATCTCCAGGTTATGACTAGTAGACCAAGAGCAGACCTTTTTATTAATCTTCCAGCTCTACGAAAACTTGACAATATGCTTATTGTAAGAATCTCTTTGTCCTATTTTTATCACAGTAGTACCTGTAGAGAATAGTAGATCTTCATAAGATCCATTTGGTATGTTGCAGGAAATACTAGATAGCTTCACCAATACCGAGTTTTGGTATGTGGATCAAGGGATAATCGCGGCTGAGGATGATGGTTCAGCCTCTTTTCGGAAAGCTATCCAGCGGCAACAAGACAAGTGGTGGCTGCCTGTCCCAAGGGTGCCTCATGGTGGTTTGCTTGATGACACAAGGAAGCAGTTAAATCACAAACGCGAATGTGCTAGTCAAATTCTGAAAGCTGCTATGTCAATAAATAGCATTACATTAGCTGAGATGGAAGTTCCTGAATCATATTTAGATGCTCTTCCAAAGGTGCATCTTTGAAATATCATCTCCTGAACTTTATATGTGAATAAATTTACTTGAGTAGCTAATTCCGTGCTTTCTGTTGAACTTGTTGTCTGCCTTATTATGGTTATGTTGTTCCGCTAACATGTCAAGGAAAGATAGATATTGATTATCTTTTTGTCTTTAGAATGGAAGAGCGTGTTTAGGGGATGTCATCTACCGCTACATAACATCAGAGCATTTCTCCTCCGAGTGCTTGCTTGATTGTCTTGATCTGTCAACTGAATGTGTTGCCTTAGAGATAGCAAACCGTGTGGAGGCTTCAATTTACGTGTGGCGAAGAAGACATCATCCTAGACCTCCAACTAATCCAAATCGCTCCACAGCAAAATCATCTTGGGAGATGGTCAAGGATCTAGTGGTTGATGGAGACAAGAGGGAGTCGCTTGCTGAGAGAGCTGAAAACCTCCTACTTTGCCTGAAGCAGCGATTCCCCGGCCTAACCCAAACCACTTTAGATACCAGCAAGATTCAGTACAACAAGGTTCGTTTACTAGTGTAAAAAGGCGTTATGCTTTCTTTCTTGCTGATACAATTTGGTGACTAGATTTTGTTCTTTAATCATATTTCAGGATGTAGGAAAGTGTATCTTAGAGAGCTACTCAAGAGTCCTTGAGAGTCTGGCTTTCAATATTGTTGCACGAATTGATGATCTACTACACGTGGACGCCTTAACTAGGAACTCGTCTGTTCCTACAGGCAATGTCATTAACCACAAAAAAGTGTCAATCCCATATTCAGGCACCCCATATAGAACACCAAATTTTTCACCTGTGCCTCTGATAAGCCCGGTAAGGGGGGAGAGAACTCCATTCCTCAGTGCAAATAGTAACAAACTAACTGGACGTGGCTTCGGAGTGAAGAGAGTCTTGTCAAATTATCTTGGCTGTGAAGCAAAGACAAAGAATTCTGGAAATGCCACTTCTAACAAGAGTTCTGATCACACTATTCAAAGTCCAGAGCTATATCTTCAAGCCGGAAAAGGTCTACGATCAATAGACCGTTGATTGTGGAACTAAAGTTAAGAATATTAGGAATGAATAGAGCAAAATGATAGATACTTCTGCTGGACTATATTGTATTATCCCCTTTTTTTACATTATAGTTTGTTTACACTTCCATGCTTGTGTGATGTAATGTACACACTTTCTGTTTGTTCCCTTGAGGAGTAGCACTCTTATCATAATTTATAACTAAGATAAATTTTTATCAACAGCTTTGTTGCACTGAAATAGGTATAATCTATATCTATCTGCTCTAATAATATTACCGGAAAGAATAATCTTCCAAGCGGACAGAGACCTAAATTTTCATTAGATTCATTCCTAGGCTTGCTTTGTTGCAGCAAGATGATCAGTCCGAGGGTGCTGGAGAGAAGAGAAAGCGGTAAAAACCTCTCGCATAAACTCCTTAACTCGAACTTTGCCAGATGATTAAGGTTCTGTTTTTTTCTTAGTTACATAAGAAGGCATGAAAAGAGCTCCAATATACTTGTGACTGTCACAGCCTACGTAACATCATACATGTATTATGACACGTAGGACACATGTGTCTACTTGTTCATTTTTATACAAGTTTAAGTGTCTATTTGTGCACACCCAAAGTTTGGGGACATAGATGTCAGTTGAAGCCAAGTTAAAAGAATATTATGTATTATGCCTATTTTCTTTTTATCAGACCTACTATTTTCATTAAAAAAATTGGTCTATGCCTTCCTCTAACTACTTGTAAAAAGACTATCGTCAATAAGAATACAGTTTATTCAATTTTATGTACTTGAATTTAGAATTATTCATTTATAATTATAGTATTATTGTAAGTAATTATTCAATTTTATGTACTTGAACTTAGAATTATTCATTTATAATTATAGTATTCTTGTAAGTAAACTTCGTTCATCATACATGAAATCAATTCTTGTCTCATGTATATCTATTTATATCTATATATATTACTTTAAAAGGCATAAAGATCGTTAGAAATGTTGATTGAACATTTTGTTTTTATGAAAAGACTTTAGAATAGAAAAAATTGCATTTACTATTTTCCTCAAATTACTATTTAATTATCTTTATAATATTTAAAATTAAGAAGCTCTAAAGTATATGATAAGAGGAAAATATATATTAAAAATTAAGGAATCTTAGAGTATATGATAAAAGTCATTAGGAGAATTAATTATTAAAAAGTTCTAAAATATATGGTAATGGAAAAATATATTTTAAATGAAGTGTATCAAAAAGGATACAAAGCAAAATATAAACACATTAAATAAAAATTAGGAATTTTGTTATTATAACATACACAGATGACCTGGGATCGATCCCCCTCAATGCTTTCTGAGTCGAGCATGTCGCATAGGGCTTGCCTAGTGCGGTTTATATCCTGTGTGGTTTGCAAACTATTACACAGTGAAGGGTTTATCCAGTGCGCACAAAGTGCTCACCACACCCGAAGAACAAAGATTGTGACAAAGGTTGTAGCGATTGCGGGTTATCCTGGGTTCCAAAAATTATTTGGCATAAAACTCCACCTTTTTTGGGTGGGTATTAAATAGTTTATAGAAAATTTATGATAGTAATATAACATAGACTAAAATTTGGCATAAAATAGTCCGCTTCAAATAAATATTTTAAAAATATTTGGCATTGTATTTGCCAAATATTGAGACCTTTTATGATATTATTACAAGTAAAAAAACTATTCATGACACACTAATTTTGATTAGCTTGTATTAAAGTCCTAAAATATATATTAAGAGAAAAATATATTTTAAACAAGATGCATCACAAATGATAGCAAGTAAAATAAAATCATGTTAGGAAAAAAAGAGGAATTTTATCATCACAACGTAGCCTAAAACTTGGCATAAAAAGCCCACTTTTTTTTTTTTGGTTATATAATAACTCAAATACATTTTTTCTTTTTAGGAATTTTTTGACCACAATATAACATGAGCTAAAATTTGGCATAAAATAATATACACTTTATTTTTAGGAACTTTTTTTACCACAATATAACATGAACTAAAATTTGGCAAATAAACTAAGGTGTCTTTTATGTTATTGTCACATCACTTTTTAGTTATTATAAAAATACACCAAGGTAGATTACAACTTAAATATTCAAAAAGATTGACATATCTGTGAATCTTTTTTGGGATAATTTTTGGGGCTAGAGATCCACCTAGTTTGTAGGAGGAAATTAAAAAAAATTGAAAAACTATATAGTATGAAATAACTATTTTCCTAACCATGATTAGTTTTCAAGTTTATGTTAATCACATCCAAATCATTGATTTCAAAATAGTACTTTTATCTGATCTTATCCAAATAAAAGCTTTGTGAAAAATGAGAAGAATAAAAGAAAACGGTCAGGAGTCAAATTTATTAATTTGATTCAGTCTGCATCATATAATACTATTTTCTGTCTCAAATTATTTGTCTTGTTTTTTTAATATGTCTCTTGATAAAATATTAATTAGGAAATAGTCGAATTATTCTTAAGATATACTCTTTCTTTGTTGAATATTTATTTTATTATGTGTCATTTCTACATCATTGAGGTATTTATATTTTTTAAGAACAATTATAATTAATATTATCATAAATTTTTAAAATGACAAATAAATTGAAATGATTATTTTTAAAATCACAATAGATACTTTAAGACGGCAGGGCTATTGTCTAATGAATTGAAGAAGTTAAATAACTCATTACTCTGAAATAAAGTATATTTACACCAACTGCCGCAAAAAAAGGACTACCCATAAATAAATATCAAAATCATGCTATTTTACTTCTTTTCCCCCTCATTAATACTCCTTCGGAGTGGCGGAGCCAAAATTTTTAATAAGTGGATTTAATATCTGAGAAGTAAACACACGAACTAGTGAAACGAGGTTTGACATCTATTATACATACCTAAAAAATAATTTTAACCATATATAAATGCTAATATTTTCCGCCGAGGGGATTCTAACTATATGTTGCCTCCGCCCCTACTCCTTCGGTCCCATAGATGATCATATTATTAAAAATATTTATCTCATATAATGTGATTGCTTACTAAATTAGGATAATATTAATTATTTTTCTCATTTTACCCCTATAATTAATATGGCCTCTGGAAGTTTAAACAAAATTTAAAAAATATACGATTTTTTCTCTCTAGAGGCTAATTAGTATGAACTAAGGGTAAAATAGTAAAGTTGAGCAATCTATTAATGATTTCTTAATCACTGTATAAAATTGAACGTGTCCATTTAATATGAGAATGAGAGAGTAAAGTTATTCACTCTATTAATGATTTCTTAATCACGACGTAAAATAGAAAGTACCCATATAATATGAGACGAAGAGAGTAGGAAAGTAGAATGACTTTACAATGGGGCAACGACAACTATCTCATTGTCGTAATTTATGTTTAGTTATATTTTTACCTTCTTAAATTTCAAATCAAATTACACTAAGCAAATTGATACGAAATAAATAATTTTAAATTTTTTGGCCAAATAGATACGTACCCACCTATCTAGTAGGTTGACCTTATAAGTAGCTATATAAAGATTCGGATCTGCATAATTTAATTTTCAAATAGACGTTGAGGCCAACTAATGCACGCAAAACCACTATACATGCCATGTGCTTAGATATTTTATTTTATTTTAATTATCTCTCTTGTTATATTTAACATTTCTCTTATTCTTTCATTCTATATATCTTCATTTGTTTCATTAAAAAAAATTCTTATATAAGTTGCATTCTTTAAAGTTCGAACACTCTTAGTTAAATTTCTGACTACGCGATTGAAGACGAGTTAGCTAGTATTGTAGCTCCAACATTGATTTTTTCGATTGATTTTATGGCGAATACAATGGCTGCAGCGCAAATTTTTGGTATTAGCAGAGTGAGGCAGCATCAAGCAGCACCAACTTTGTAAGTTGTACCTTCAATGTGTTAATGCAAAATATTTCGATATAATTCAGTAGCTTTGGATCGGTCTGTTAAGATATATTGCGTTACTAAAAGTTTTTAGAATTCATAAACTCAAAATCCTACTGGTGATTACTGATATTGTTGAATGGAAATGAGTTCTCCTTGTACAGTGCTAAATATTTTATTTTTGAATTTTGTCGTTTTAAATGGTTGATTATAAGTAGAGGTTGCAAAATCAGAACATGACATTATAACCCGTTCAATCTGCTTAAGTTTGGGTTAATTATTGATCTGTTTTATTTTGTAGATCAACTCATTTCATCTCTTCAAAATTTGGACTCATATAAAACCCTAATTGATGTTGAGAAATTTTATCAAAATATTTTCTTTTTTTTATTTGAAATTTCATAATAAAGAAATATTATAATAACACAATTAAACTTAGTAATAGTTGGGTCGATTGAGTTTTGACTCGCTTAGTAGCTAAGTGATTTTTTGGACGGGTCAATAACCTGTTCATTTATTTATTCAACCTGTTGTAAAAGTCTCCAAAATTTAATTCAACACGCCCATTTGACACCTGTGACAATAACTCAATTAAGAATTTTGTGTTAGAATATATTTGTGTACATTTATTACTTTGCCTTCATATTTAAATCAATTCTCTGATGGAAAATTCAACAGGATAATGTGTTCCAATACTGCTAAAGGTGCAGAGGAGTTTTCAAGGTAATGTGTTTAATTTTTGTTTGATAAACAGTTTATTTTGTAAATTAGGATTCTTAATTAATGTGGATATCTGATTTTGATGCTTCATTTGTACAACTTAGATAATTAAATGAGGATAGTTTATGTTGATGAGGATTAATCAACTGTTATTAGATATGTGTTTCAACTTTGCATCAGAAGATGAAGTCAGACAAATCTAGTGATAGTAGTAGATACTCCCTCCATTTCAATTTGATTGTCGTGTTTTGGCTCGACACGGAGTTTAAAAAAGTAAAGAAGACTTTTTGAATTTTGTGGTCTTAAAGTAAAGATACGCAAAATGTATCAAAATGTCTTTTAGAAAGTTGAAATGAAAGAGTTGTCAAAAAAGGGAAACAAACATTCATTTTTAAAACGAACTAAATAGGAAAATAAGACAAACAACTTGAAACAGAAGGAGTATCTGTGCTGCT